AATACGCATTTAGAGACCCGGTATATATTATTGAATAAGGGACCGTTGCATATGTTGTATTAACTTTTTGATACTTTTCCGCAAGCATTCATATAATTATTTTTTTTTTAAACACCTTCAATTATGACAGACTGATGAGAGTATAATGGTGGGATGGGGACGCAAAACTATTTCACAAAAAATATCCCGTTTCTTGTGTTATATTACTCCTTACTTCGAAAGTTCTGACAAAACTTGAGACTGATAAATTAGATTTCTTGCTACACATTTTTAATATACGGCAACTTTGAAACCCGTGGAGTATTATCGTTTGTCACATTCAAATCTACTTTTGAGACGATTCGTACTACGTCCTTACAAGAAATAACCCTCATGAAAATAAATATTGAATTTTTTTTAAAAAAAAATATTAATTTCTCTCCTAATGGTTAATACATCAGTTAACCAGTTAAAATCCTGTAACAACCAATAATCATACTCTTCGTCCGTACATCGCCTCGAACACAAATTTAAAAAAAAAAAAAAAAATAAAAATTATCGTTTTCGCAGAACAGTGCCACGCATTCTCCTCTTGCTCGCCGTCCCCTCAGCCTCCCCCGCAGCGTGCCGCATGCCGGGTGGCAGCGAGTCAGCACCCCGCGCCGCGGAGGCGTGGGAGGCGGGTGCGACCCGCGCCGCGAACGATGTGCCGAGCGCGCACTTCGCAGAGATACCGCTGCGTCGCGGCAAAGGGCCCCGCTCGCCGGGGGAGGGGGTGGCGGCGAAGGGAAGGGGAGGGGAGGGGAAGGAGAAGCACGCGTTGCTCGCGAAGATAAGGCGAGGGTCAACGAGGAGAAATGGTTTGTGTATATTGCGCGCTTCTTTCACCCTGTGTCAAAGGACGGGGAAGAGAGGGGAGACAGCGGCTCCGGAAACCCTGCACAGGAAGCAGATGATTGGTGGGTTCGGTACTTCTGAGAGCGGGGCCTTTAATGGGAAGTTTTTGTGCCCATGTAAGTTTAGTATGTCGTGAGTATGGAAGAAAAAAAACCACTAATATATTCGTCGATTTGTCATGGAGGAAGATAATTTCTTTTATCAACGATTGCCTTTAAAAATGTATCATTTTATTTCTGGACTACCTTCGTGGAGATAAGCAATCAAGAAAAAAATGCTATCCGACACTAGAAGAACGTTATCATATTACAACCACAATATTTATAGCAATGTTGAATTCTCTTTTTGTATTCCGTTCAAAAAGTAATATACAAAGGATTTGATTATGTACATTTATTTCTGTGTAGATAAATCGAGCAATATAAGGGGCTTTGAATTTCAAGACTTTTTTTTTAAAAAATCAATAACAAAATCATTTAATCCGTGTGCAATGCATTAAATAAACTTAATCTTTAATTTATCAGGCCACATTCTATAGAAGTTCAATTCGGCTCCATAAAAACGTTAAGTATTCCTCTTCCGAACGTATCCACAACCAAAACCCAACAGCCTCAATCAAAATTATCGAGCGTTATAATGAGCTTGCGGCTTTACTTTCCATGACAGCGCAACCCGAAACCTCGAAACGCAACGGCGCCAACAGAGACATGTTGAACATCCATCGGCCGCTTTGAACAGCAAGGGCATGTAAAATACCGCAGAACAAAACCGGCGCAATCGCCCGGGGCGAAAAATGAATTTATGCCCTCGCCACCGCCACCGCCGCAAATTACGGGCGGCGCGCGTGCAGGCATCAAACGCGCGGGGGCGACGGTTCGGAGGATGGGGGCGGGGCAGGGAAGGGGAGAGGAGAGAAAGGGCGGGTGCGAGCCGCTCCCCCCCCCCCCCCAAGATAAATCCCCCTCATCCGGCGCGACTAACGGGCGGCGGAGTCTGTACTAACAAGTGGCGTCGAAGGACGGGATGGACAGACGGAGAAGCGGACGAGCGGGCGAGGCCAGTAGCGGGGGGGCGGGCTCTATCGCGAGTGCGTCACGTGCCACCCTGGAAATGCTTGTCGCCGGAGCAGCGCGCGCGGACCGGCGTCGCCGTCGGATGCGCGGCGGGGGAGGGAGGAGGAGGAGGGGGTCGGTACATTTTCGGTGCGACTCTGTTGGCCTCCTGCTGTTGCCGTCGTTTCTGTGCACGCCCTCACGCGGTTGGCGCGAGCGTGATGCAGGCGCGTTGAACGCGTCCTGGGCGTTGTGGTGCGTCCGCCGCCGTGCCGTGGCTGCCGGCGGCGCGACGCCCCTGACGCGCCGTCTGTTCCGCCGCCGCGGCGACACGTCCCGCCGGCGCGGCGCGCATGCGCGCCGCCCTTCCGCGCCATCCCTTCCCTTTCCCTTCCCTTCCTGTCCGGCGCGCCGAACCCAGCCAGTCGAGCCGCGCCCGCCATTTGCACTGTCGATACAAGATGTCGCCCACTGGCGCGCTGGCCGCCCTTCGCTGCAGAGGGCCCGCGCAGCGGGAAGGGCAACCGCGCGGCCGACCGCTGCCCCGGAAGCGAACCACGCGCGTGGAGAGCGCTTGCTTGCGCCGCAATAGCCCTTCACGTCACCCGCAACGACGCTCTACAAACAGACACGGTCACCCATTTATGCTAGGGCTGAGAAAAACGAGCCTTCGAAACAAATGGAAGCGGACTTCGTTCGGTATGAGCCTTTAATTTCATAATATATATTTTTTCTCGATTTGGTTGAATATTCCAGAAAATGACCACTACTCCGTTTGGCCACTAAAGACACAACTCTTGCACTTTCAACAACCTCCATTTCCCAGTTTTACGCCATAGAATGTCGTAAACTCAAACCGCTGCTGACTGAGATAAACGTTTCGTGGGTAACGGAGAACTGCGGGTAGCTTCATTAAGAGTTAAAGAACGTCAGGTACTGTGGTACGAGAATTTTCTCGTGAGTTAACGTGGGGTTAGAGGATGTTCGCAGCCTACAGTGTTCTGCGCACGCAGTGTCAAAGCACATAGTTTCGGGTTTCAAGTCCCACCGTCCGAACAATGCGAGGAAAGCGTGTGGGGCCGGCGGTTCTCCACGAGAGTTTTTCAAGCCTCTGGCGAACAGTAAAACGATATTATCCCCGAAAGAGGCAAAAAAAAAGCGTAGCGAACGAGTTAGTGCCGGTCAGCTAAATGTGACCAACTAAACGAGAGGCAGGCGTTGAAACGAAAGTGGCGGGCCGGCGACGGCTCGCCGGGCCAGTCGGCCGACCCACGCGCCGACCCGCCCGCAGTTGCGGCCGGCTCGTGTGCCTGACGGGCGAGGCAGCGGGCCTTTGGGATTTGCCATACTTGCTTCGATACATCGCCGGTGTGCAAGGAATAAGTGAAGTCAATAGAGAAAGTTGTTCAAGAAATAGTTAGTAAAGAAAATAGATCTAGCAAGTACTGTAAGTTTACTAGTAAAAATCGTATAAAGATGTTTACAAACTGCCCGTTATTCTGAGTAGAAATTTGAGCAAAACGTTCATTTGCAGAAGGACTTTTTTTTTAAGATTGCCAGTTTTCTTGTACTAGGCGCGCGGCAGCACACAACATATAAACAGCACACAACAAGTAAATCCCTTTCTGCGATCGTTCCTTAGGTGTGTTGCAGATTCGTTATTTTCACTGTTAAGGTTCTGAACCTTGTCAAAAATACAAAAGTCACGATAATTTAAATACACTTACTTTTTGATATGTTGTATTTATTGAAAATTGTGGTATACATTATTAATCAAAGTTAAATCATTGAGCTTTAAATGAATGGATGCTTTTCAGCAGGAGTTACCTTTCCAAAGACCGATAGTTCGGACATCTGTA